GAAAAAAGGCTGGTGACCCCAACTTTTTTTTAGGTCAATATCCTTATATTGCCTTGGAGTACAATTTATTGCAAAATGAATAAATTCTGGGTTTTTAAATTTATGAGTAGGCTTCTACCTTAAGAGCGATGAAATTGTTATTGATGAAAGTGTAGAAAATTAAATATTATCATGAATGGTAATGACATATTATAATGAATGTTGAGCTAGAGAGATTGATAATTCCATTACCGACCTGACCAGGACACTTTTTAAATTGCAACAATCACACAAAACACCAAATAGCGTAACTCTGATTATCACACGTGAGGTCGAATAAACAACGAACAAACAAACACCAGGAAGATCGGTCCACGTAAGTTTTTTGAAATGAATATACTCGAAATGTGTTATTTGTCTTCTGCCACTTAGCCGCTATATAATGATTTGTTATGAAAATATCAATCTAATATATACAGTCAATAAATCGTGGATTACATAATTTTGAAATAATATTGTGAGAAAAATGTATTTAGGCAGTCCATTATTATACACTTAGTTAGAGGGTCTTTATGTTGTGGCATGTCACTTTTCATTGCATATTCCTCGCTGTTTATTTGTCATTGAAATCTGGCCAACATATAAGGTAGGTACTTATGTTTATATCACGCCAACCTGTTTAAACATCTCTATCATTACTGTTTATTGTGAACCGAGTTTATTTTTTTAACTGGGGGATTTTTGCTGAGTCACTTCCAGACCATGGACCAAAGATAAAAAAACAGAGACCTCTTTCCCGATTCTAGAAGCCATACAGTACACTTCGTGACTATGGTTCTATTGACGTATTTTATCGTACGTTAACATAACAATTATTATCCAAGGCATTTCGTTTATTTAATAGTGATTTGTCAACTTTACAGGATTAATTGCAATAACTTATGGACATTGGTGAAATGACCCTCATTGGGTTTCAGCACGGTTACTAGTAACCGTGGTTTCAGTAACAGACTGTTAGTCAGTGTTAGTCAGTGTTAGTTTACATGTATTCGATTCGTATCAAAACAAATTGAGATATATTTACTTAAACAATCAAATGTATAATAATTAAGATGTAATAATAATCTTAATAATAAAGACTGAATTGTTGCGATGGAAATAATAGCTTGGACCTACAGACAATCATGATAGTAGTCTGCAGTAAAGTGCTTTGGGGGGGGGGGGTGGCAATTTTATTTGTATTATGTAATGCAAACGCTACATCAATTATTATAAAATTTTCAAATTTGTCTTTATATATGGTACATGTACATGGTCAGCGATCAGCTGTGTAGACTGTACAGCACTTATTGTTGCATGACTTTAAGAATGCTTCATTGAAAAATGGGCTGATTGAAATGAAACATTGAATAAATTATAATACAGAGACTATGCAAATTGTTTTGTTGGTCAAATCTGCTTAAATCAAATCCAAAGACGTCAGCAAATTAGTGAGCTAACTTGCTGCCCTAATACTTGTGAGACTTGCTGTAATGTGACAGATGAAATGATGTTATCAGTCAAAAAATTAACTCTGAACATCACTAGATTAGATTCAGTATAACTATCACACAAATCAACATTATCATATGCTTATTTTCTAGTATTTCTCACTAAAAGAGATGTCAAAATTTGAACATGTTGGAAGCTCAAATGCTGAGAATTACGGTCTTGATTGATTTCAAAGCTAAACATATTTACTGAATAACCATGAAAAATCAATGAAAAGTTTCATCTTGCTTTTGACAATAATTAGTCAAGGTTTTGTTTAATAAATTTATAATTTATTTATAAAACTTTGGTTAATAAATTAATTTTGTTTAATAAATAAGCTTAGATGTAACCAGATTTAACATAGATGTAGATGTAAACGTTTGTCACTTCTCACAAAATAAACCCATAAATTCAACAACTTCAATCAAGATCTACATGTACATGTAGCCATAAATATTGTCCATTTTATCCAAAGTTTACAAAGACATTTAATTTTAAAATAAATTTGTTTCAAATGGTTGATAGAGAAGGGTGCGAAGAGCAAAAAGAGTGTTAACAGTGATTATATGATTGTATAATAATTCTACTTTCATTTCTTTTCAAAAGTATGTGTTGTGTTGTTGATGGCATGTACAAAATATAATGATTTTACTGTTTCAGTGATCTGCATTTTTTTTAATCTATGTAACACTTAGCCAACATTACCTATATGGTAGCAAATTGTGTGTATTTATGATAATATCATGTAAATATCATAGTTGCTCTATTAGTAGTAAGTAGCATGTGCATTTACTTAAATGACAAAGGCCTGCAGATGGTCAAAATAATTCATATCAGCAAACAATACATGCAACATGGTTTACATGTGTTTTTATTGGGATGTGCTTCTAATAGAATAAATACAGTAGCTAGAACATATTTTTCAACGTATAATTGTTGCCCATAATTATAGCTTTGAATTGAACTGAAACACCATGCAGTTCTGAATACCAAAAAATATGCTTTTGTGAAAATTGTCAATGATTTCCGATATCTTTCCTATTTAGTTAAATGGTTTTTTTGGTTAGTGTTTTGAGTGCAGAAAAAGTCGTACCTGTTTGCATCAGCTGTGAATGAAACTGATTAAGCTGGGACTATTACATAATGAGTCACGCACACATCAGTCTGGAGGTGTAATGAATTCCTGTTTCAGATTTACATACTCAGAATGGAAAATAATAAAGAGCATTAACAGAATTTTACAAGCTGTGTCAATGGGATTTTAATACGCTTAATTCTAGAAACTGGTAAATTAAATATTAGGTGAGTGAAACCCAGCATTTCAGTTTTAATACCACCAGAATTTTCAACAAATTTCAAAGATAAATACAAACTGTGAATGTGATTGTAACTGGAATTTTTGCAATAAGTTTAAAATATTGAAATATTTTGAATTTTGAATTACCTAATAAATTTATGTAAACAGCACCTAGACATGATCATATTTATATTTTAGCCAGACTTTTTTTACTTCTTGTTTCTCAAGTTTTTATAAGGCAATTTTTACCTTGCCTGTACCATCAAAGATGGAAGGGAAAGGTATATTAAGGGAAAATTTTTGTCTGTCGTTATTGTTGTCGTTGTCATCGTTAATAATTGTTATTGTGTGCATAATAACTTTACTAATTCTATTCCAAACTTTATCAAACTTGGTC